CAGCATAGGTCCAGTGGATCCCGTTGTGCAAGGGCTGCGCATGGCCTTAGGCTGATCTGCAAGTAGGATGTGTGGTGATCGGTCCGCGCGTGAGACGCTGTGCCTTTGTGTTGGGGAGGTGGTCCTAGGACACACTGGAATCCCTTTGCCTACTGTGTCTTGGGCAGAACATTGAACTTATTTAGCCAAGGTCAAGAAAAACTGTATCTGGCTGCATTCCCTGGAAAGAAGCTCATTGAGTTTAACCTGTGTTGTAGGCTCCAAAATCTGTATTCTGTACAAACACAGTAATCCAAAATCAAAAGCATCCTGACAATTTTAAGTTGAATATAACATTAAAATGAGAGGCTTTTGCCTACTAGTGCTAGAAAAAAGCTAAAGTTTTTATCTCAATAGAGAAGGAAATACCCAATGAACTTGGATTACTGAGTAATGTCTTTGTCCTCTGGGTACAAAAATATAATGGAGCATAAATATGAGGAGGTGAATTCAGTTTAGTTGTCTTCTATTGAAATGAAAGCCATGTGGAGCAAGGTGATCAGACTGGAATAGTCCCAAGTCTGTCTGTGTAGGGTCTTGTCCAGAAGGACATACAAGACTTTGCACGATGGGGAGATCTGTTACATGGCCATTACAGTCTTAACCATGCTTGTGTTTGCTGGGGACTGGCCAGGGCTTACAGTGTGCTAATACCCATCCGAGTTGCTTGCTATTACCTATGGCCACCCCAGACATTGTTGATGTGTACCTACGTATCATTCCTTTTCAACTTTGCTTTGCAGTGAGTCAGAAGTCACCTTGTAAAGCCTCATTTCATCCAAAGCTGCTGCATATGTAGCCTTTGGACTAATCAAAATTGCTGGTGCTTTTTGTGTGACAAAAGAGCACAGCGTCCAAGATAAACTGAGGAGAAGAGATCTGGGTATGCAAGCCTTCATTTAAAATAGGCATCTTTCATCTCGCTGACAGCGAGGTTCCTGCAGCACTTTGATTGCCCTTTAATTATGCCTATTTTTCCTGGTTTGTTTGAAAGGCAGATCTTGTTAGAAAAAGGTGCTGTGTGGAAAGAACTTGGCTGTCTCTGCTGCCCTTCCTTGAGGGCACACAGCAAAGCTGCTGGACTAATTTTTTTTTCCTGCATTATTAAAAGGGAAGATTGTTTCTTGTAGATTTGAACGCAGGCATAGTGTGTTTCTCCCAAGTTAGGCAAGGAGGGATGCGAGTGGTCAGGTGGTTAAAGCAGATCGGCAAGTCATGAGGTCTGGCTTCCTCCCACATTGACTTCCACCATGATCCTGGAAGAGGTGCTTTAATCCTTCTGCCTTCAGTCTTCCATTGTGTGCGGCTGAGCTGCTGCTCATCTGCCCCAAAAGCTGCAGAAAACCCCACGTTGGTGTTGGGTGGAGGAGGTTCTATAGCATGTTGGGGTGAATGTCAGATGTGGGGGGTTAGCAGCTCATACCACCTCACAGGTTTCATGCTGTTTGGTGTTTTATCTGAAACCCTGCCATTGCAGAGCTGTTTGTCTCAAGGACAATCTCTGCTTTCATTAATAATAATAAAAAAAGGCATGAAAAAAAATCAATGAAAAGGAAAATAAAGCCTGGCTTTGGCTGGAGAGAAAAGCCTGGAAATACAATTCAAATATAGACTAAAGGCTTAACTGCCAAGCAAGTGAAATAACTCAAGAACAGGTTTCTAATCCTTTTAGAAATCTCAGTTTTAAAGAAAATCTGCGTAACTTTTGAGGGCTTGACTCATGTTTGTAAGTGCTCGGGCTTGACAGTGCTCTATTTTTAAGTGCTGTCTTTGTGTTGAATCTTGGGAGGAGAGATGAAAATGTTTTTTTTTTTTAAAAGTAACAACAAATCTTAATATAGCTGAGAATGCGGAACTGCCGTTAGAAAAATAGGTTGGACACATGAAAAGGAATCTTGCTTAGCAGGCTGAAGACGCAGAGCAACTTCTGCGGTTATGTTTTTCTTTCTTCTGGCAATTTTGGGGTGGGGATGTAGCTGGCGCAGTCACTTGGCCTTATGTTTCTTTTCGAACACAAGTCAAATCTTCCTGAACAAAAAGCACCTGGCTTGAAATTGTTTTATCCCAAACTGGAAGAGCTGTTCGCTAAACTCTGTTTTTTGTGGAACTTGAGGCAACCTGAAGTTGCTCAAAAATAGGAGTCACAGGATGGGTAGGGAGAAGTAGATGATCCTTTTGAACTCAAATGGCTTTGTACAAACAGAAGACAGGCTGGCTTTCTGTTGCTTCACAGAGGTGATGAGGTTTTAGTTGTCATCTCCTGCCCAGAGTCCTGAAGACTTAAACGGCATGAAAATGAAGTCAGCTGCTTAAAGCCAAAGCTAATCAAATGAGGAGACTTTAAAGCAGGAGGATCATCTTTGTTATCTGACAGGCAATTCCAAATTCTCATGGGATACCCATGCAGCTCTGCTGCTGTAGCGTGCACCTCTTGTGCCGAGACCAATGCTTCTACTTTCAGCCCAGCATGCTGCATGGGCTTTGCGTAGCTGGTAAGCCATGAAAACTGAAAACATAGACCTGAATTATCCAGTATAAAAGTGACACCACTTGCTAGAGAACTGGTGGCCAATGCTGCACATTCACACTGCTGGACACCAGCGGAGTCAAACTCAAACAAGGGATTTCATAGAAATTTTGAGGCAGGTGGACCTGCTGGCATGGCTGCTTGGGTATGTTTTCTTGAAGAATGCAGTCATTTCTTCATACAGACGTGAGAGTTGTGTGTGAATGTTCTGTATGGGTAAATAAATATAAAATTAAAATTTAAAATGTAAAAATATGCAAACACCGGAGCTGAGGCTCTTTTTTAAAAAACAAAACCCCTGCTCAGGGAACACGATTATTCAGGCTGTGCATAGATCTGATTACCTAGCTCTGAAGTGGGTGAAAGCAGCTCTTCAAACTCCTTGAAGCTTTCCCCCAGGGTGTGCCAGTGCTGCAAGCAAAATGCCCTTGTAAAGCCGAAGGTAGCAAAAAGGGAAGGGGGTGGATAAAAGCTGACAAAGCCATCATTTGGGTTAGTCTGAGGAAGGCTGAGAAGAGGTTATTTTAAAGTGATTTTCCTGGCTGCAATTTGGAATGTATTTAACGTTTAAAAAAAAGTTGTCTTGGAACAACACAGGGTTTGGGATGCTGAGACACAGGCTGGTGCCGCTGTCCCTGGCTTGGGCTGCTGCAGAACAAGCAGCGCAGCTTGGGAGGGGCTGGGGCTCTGCCAGCTTGCCATGCTGGTTCGAGGGAGATGTTTCATGCATCTCAATGTCTCTTTGCACAAGCGGGACTCGGCAGTGGCGTTGCCAGCTCTGTGGGATGGTGTGTGTGCGCAGGGGAAGGGGTAGGGACTGTTCGCTGAGCTGGTGTGCTGGCAGCTGTCTCTCCACTCTGGGGCAGCTGGTGCTCGCAGGAGCTGCAAGAAGTTGCATGTGAATCTTGAATATTCAGACGAGTTATTACAAGAGAAGACCCTTATCTATCCTATTTCCCCCTGCCCTGGCTTTTTATACTACTGTGTTATATATGGGGGGGAGGGGGGGAGGCTTATATCCTTAATCTGGTGATAGTTATTACATTTCCATTTCCCCTCTTTTGTTAAAACTAGAAAAGTACCTTGCAGAACCTGTACAAAGAAGCCCACGATAAGCACTTTGCAAAACCACAAATCTAACGCAAACCCTTAAGCTTTTCAAAACCTACCTTGAGACTTTGCAACACCGGGGCAGCTCCGGGAGGTGGCACTAACTCACTGCAGAGACTGTCAAATAGGTGCTTCATGGTAGTAGTGCAATAAGTAAGTGATCAGGTAGTGGGATAGTGCTCCTGCAAAATCTCTGGCAAGGTGCTTCTGGCTCGTAAGGCTTTGATTATTTTTTAAAGCAGTGGGTTCCCAGCCTTTATTCTTGAGGCAGAGAGGAGAGGAGTGGAGCCATTGCAGGTCTTGGTAGGTTGTAAATTCCTGGTAATTAATCATTGCAGCTTCTTCTGAGACATGCCAATAATGAGGATTTTGCCTGGCGATGAGCCTAGCACACAGCAAGCCCATGTTCTGGATACAGAGTACCCTGGTCTATTTGTTCATATCCACACAAGGATATTTCTTCCTTTTGTTAAGCAGCATTGGACCTTTTCTCTGGTTGTGGGGTTTTTTTCCTTGGTTTGGGTTTTTTTTAGGCAATTATGAAAATGAAGTTAGATATGTTCAAAAACACTCTTAATTCATTTTTCCCATAATGCAATTATTTTATTAGAATAATGAAAATATTACTCTTTCCCTTTTGATCTGAACACTAACAGGGTGTTGTAAGTCTTACTGGGGAATATTCAAAACAGTGTTTGTCTTTTTAAGTGTAAAGCCCAGAAACTCTTTCACTGAAATAATGGCATTATTCCTGTGTTTAAAGATAACATGTTGCATAATATTTTTAAAAAGCTTTTAATATCATTTACAAAAAAACAACAACAAAAAAACCCCAAGTAGTTTCAAGCATAAGCTGTGCTCACAGCAGCTTATGTAAAACTCACAGAAAGCTTTGTTTTAACTTGCCCAAAGTAATATAAATTTTTTGAAGCATGGTTATGTTCTTACCAAGATGGTAAAACACTGGGCAGTGAGGACTGGGTGTGGGAGGATTTGTGTTGCTAAAAGTTTGACGGCAACATTTGAGGTGTCTTGGGTGGAAATATCTGGGAAAGGTGGGTGGAGCCTTCATAAAGTTTGCAGAGTTTGTTGAAATTCATTCTGGACAAAGTGGCTTTGTCCCCTTTAATGGCTTATGTAGGGAATTAAGAATGTTGTACTGTTTCTTGGGGATTTTACCTGATCTCTCAGAAGAAAGACGGTCCTGCTTGTAGTGGCAAGGACCAGCATTTAGATCTCAGCACTTACCGAGCAGTCCCTTGCTCAGCGGCCAGCCAGGAGTCTGTGTGTCACTACTGATGGATGCTGCTTTCCTCTTCTGCAGGTTTTCATTTCTGTGAATTGCCTCAGCACGGATTTCTCCTCTCAGAAGGGAGTTAAAGGCCTGCCCCTGAATCTTCAGATTGACACCTACAGCTACAATAACAGGAGTAACAAACCTGTCCACAGAGCCTATTGCCAAATTAAAGTCTTCTGTGACAAGGTAAGGTTGGGTCAATGTGCCAGTGACCCTTTGGGAGAGGCTGTTCCACAGCTTAGCAGCTTTCCCGCCCCCACCCACAGTTCTGCCTTTTGCTATTTTGGCTTGCTGAAAACCCCAGTCCGTGTTCAGCCTTTGCAAGGAAAAAATTTCAACCCCTTCTACTTGGCTCATAGATGTTATGATGACCTCAGATAAATTTGCTGCTCTCAAAATGCTGGAGCACTGGGAAGTGTTCCTGAGCATTGACTTTGGGGAAAGGTCAGTCAGTGGCAGAAGTCTGACTGTCAGTACTCCAGACACTGGAAGGTCCTACAGAGTGCCTTTAGTAGGAGAAATCATTGCAATTGATTGGAGCAAGTGGAGGCTTGTCTTTTTGCCCAAGCTATGTTGTGCTGGTCCTTTTAAATTTCTTCGTGTGTTCTTACTGCATTTGTTATAAAAAAAAAAAAAACAAACCAAAAAACCAAACAACCCAATCACTTGCACATCTCCTGAACAGAAAATGTTGAGATACAGCAGTATAATGAAGCCCATTTACAAGCTGGGTGGGTGCTGTAATTTGACTGCTCTGCCTAATGCATTTAGTGCACAGAGAATTAACACCTTTCCCAAAGCCACTGTTCACCAGAAGCTGTGAAGAAAACATAGCAGGAGCTGAGCTGAAAGCAGTTGTAAAAGCTTAACTGAGTTTGCAAAGAAAAGACATTTCCCAATCTTTGTAACTTGTTCCTGCCTGAACAGTCTTTTGAAGGACCCGAGTAAGTCATGTGCAATGTTGCTATTTCCAGGGTGACCGAGATCTTTCTAGGCTGGGATAAATGCTGCCTGGACTTCTCCAGTCCTTCTTTTGATTGCTGTGAACCACACCAACTTCCTATTTTGCTAGCATCCTATTTGATTAGGGCCTCTCATTCTTTGCAGCTGGACTCTTTGCAGCATGGATGCTTTGCAAGTGATATCTCAGAAACCTCTCTGTGCAGCTGCAGGTCTGAGACAGGCTCGTGACCCTCACCTGCTAGCTTTGTACCAGTTAGATACTGTGCGGTCTTGCCTTGTTGTCATCCCCCAGGACACTGCTGCAGAGATTAATCTGTGCCATTGCTCTGCCTCCACTGACCTCCCAAAATATATGGAGCCCTTTACAGTCTGCCTCTGCTGTAGCATTCCATTGACCCATCCTGCTACATTTTATTGTCCATCTATATGCTTTTAAATAGGCCCCTCTGCTTTCCTGCATGGTTGGGAGAAGCTGCCTGTAGCTGCCTGCCAGTGTAAAGCTACTTAGTCATCCTCCTTCAAGTGCCTCCTGAGATGGCTCCTGTTGTGATGATTGCTGCAAAGAATTTACCAGGGAATTAACAAATGCACTCCAGAGCTATCGTAAAGGCTTGCCAGTAAGCCTAAGAGGCTTGGGTCTCATGGGCTTTCTTCAGGTCTTTTCCCTTTTCCCTTTTCCCTTTTCCCTTTTCCCTTTTCCCTTTTCCCTTTTCCCTTTTCCCTTTTCCCTTTTCCCTTTTCCCTTTTCCCCCCCAGCCCCCCCCATGCTAAAATTACTGACGGGCTTTTGCCGCTGCTAATAAGACCAATTGGTCAATAAAAGGGCAGTCATGTAGTCAGTACATAGCTTGAAGGAAACCATTTGAGTCTATACCATAAATTTCAGCAAATCTATTGGTGCAGTAATGCCAGTGTATCTTTTATTTTCCTTTGGGATTTTGACCTTTCTTCCTGCTTTGTTCCTCCAGATACTTTGCAAATTGGAGCTAAATTAAAAGGGGAGGGAGGGACGGAGAAAAGAGTACTTTTCTGTAATCTGACTGTTGTTCGTTCTGTGAACATGCAGCCAATGTGAGGTTGGTGCCTGATGATTCTGCAATTTACATTTATAGAAATGGTGTTGAAGTTTGCTGCCTTTCAGATCTGGGCTGGGTCCGGCAATGAGAGCTGGGGACAGAGGCTGACAAGCTGAATACTGTTTGTCACCACATTGAATCAGACTGTGTCTTCAAACACTTGTTTGAGGCACTGGGCAAGTGCTCCTGTGAGCAGACTTGTGTCCTTACAGCTGCAGGTACTCACTCGTAGACCCCAACGCTGGCCACCTTCTCCAGGCTTCTGTAAGAGCATTGGCATTTCAGAAGGAGCACCCATTTTCTGCCCTGCTTTGAATCTTAGGTAATCAGTCAGCTGGTCTTTAATGTTTACAGGACCATTGTTACTATAGTATCCATACATATTGCAGTACTTAATGTGTTTGTCCTCATGTGGCCCCTCTTACCTGTAGAAGTGCTGTTATCCATGTTTTCTCTGTGGAGGGCCAAGTCTATACTGTGGAGGTCTGATGCTGTGGCCACCTAACAGGGACAACTCTGCATAGGTCCCCTCCATTCCTTTGTCTGTTAAGGCTGTGCTTGCATTGCACACCTGAACTGTCTTTGAACCCAGACACTGGCATGGCAGTCCTCTGCTGTCTCTTTTGTGGGTACAAATCGATAGATATCCTACGGAAGGTCAAATAGTTTAGTTAATGTGTGGTGGCCTTTGCGCGGGAAAGGAGTGAAAGAGGAGGGTTCCCATGCTTGGGGTGGAAGGGAAAGCTGCTGATACTTGTTTCTAGTTTTTGGCTGCTGCCTCTGAGACCAAGTTTCTTCATGTGTTTCTGTCTTCCCCTTCGTGCTCTCTCTGTGGAAAAGGGAGTTCACAGGTGCACAGGATGTTTGGATTTCATCTAATACTATGCGGTTTCAAGACCTTGGTAAAGCAGAATGGGCTTAATGGTGTAATCCTGTGGCATGTTACAGCACAAGCTTCATTCAGGCTTGGCCCAGCAATATTTGGGTTGTGTGGGGATGAGGGTGACCTGTCCCAGAGGAAGAAGACCTTCTCTTCTGTAAATGGTGCCTCAGCTAAGCATCCACATGGGGAAGACTAACTACAAGACTTCACAGGCTATAGCTAGTGTTGTCCTCTGGGACCTGCTGTTATTCTTGTAGTGATGGGCACTGCTGTGGGAAGGTTTTTATGGGGTGGTAGGAGCAAGTGGGCTAGATGCTGCTGGAAGGAGAGAGGTGGTGCAAGGTGGCTGGAGGCAGCATTGATGTGGATGGGCAGCAACACCGAGACTGTTACTTCTGTTGCATGATCAAAGGATGGTTTGGGTGGGAAGGGACCTTTAAAGATCATCTAGTTCCAACCCCCTCTGCCATGGGCAGGGACACCTTCCGCTGGACCAGGTTGCTCAAAGCCCCATCTAACCTGGCCTTGAACACTTCCAGGGATGGGGCATCCACAACTTCTCTGGGCAACCTGTTCCCATGTCTTGCCACCCTCCTCATAAAAAATTTTCTGCCTTATGTCCAGCCTAAACCTACCTTGTTTCAGTTTAAAATAGTTGCCCCTTGTCCTGTCACTACAGGTGCTGGTAAAAAGTCCCTCTCAATCTTTCTTGTAAGTCCCCTTTAAGTACTGAAAGGATGCAATATGGTCTCCCCAGAGGCTTCTCTTCTCCAGGCTGAACAACCCCAATTCTCAGTGTGTCCTCATAGGAGAGGTGTTCCATCCTCTGATCATTTTTGTGCCCTCCTCTGGACCTGCTCCAACAGGTCCATGTTCTTCTTATGTTGGAGGCCCCAGAGCTGAATGCAGTACTCCAGGTGGGGTCTCGTGAGACTGGAGTAGAGGGGGAGAATCACCTCCCTTGACCTGCTGGCCATGCTTCTTTTGATGCAGCCCAGAATGCGATTGGCTTTCTGGGCTGCAAGGGCACACTGCTAGCTCGTGTCCAATTTTTTGTCCACCAGTATCCCCTGGCAGCTCAGCTGCTGGGGCCACAGGGTAGAGGAAGACCTTGAATTGCTTGTGGGCTGTGTGCCAGAGCTGCATCCAGCATGAGAGGGTGTGCACAGAGGGGACGAGGAGCAGCCCTCCGTCTTTGGAGCACATCCAACTGATGCAGCCTGCACACGGAAGCAGGGAGTCCCGTGGCATCATGAAGTGTCCAGATCCCAGTGTGTCATGACTCGATGTTGCATCCTCTCCCTGCATCTCTGTTGCTTATCAAATACATCACACCTCTCTGTGGGAGGGAGGGATGACAGCTCTTCCCAAAATGCTGCTTCCCTTTCTCAGCCCAAGAATCCGTTACACAACTGGAGACTTTGAGGGAAAGAACAACAAAAAAACCCCAACCCTGCAGCCTTTAACACAGAGACAAGAGTGTGAAATCCTGCTTTTCAGACTGTAGGCCGTTCTCAGGGATGAAGTTTGGAAAACCTCTTTGGTACAAACTTATTTATTTCATAATTGCAGAATACAGGATTCCCAGTGTTTTTTCTTCAAAAGTATCTGGTCCTGGCTGTCGCTGAGCTCCACTGGCAAGGCAGAAAAGCCTGTTATCAAGACATGGCTTGCTTTTTTTTTTTTTTTTTTTTTTTTTTTTGTGGGATTTGAGATGTTTTTACCTGGGCCCCTGTAGCCTGGAACAAGTTGACTTTCAAGCAGAACTCTGTAGGTATGGGAGAGCAGAGGTTTTCTCAAAATGTGTGCTCTTGAATGGATTGGCACTTTCTCCATGAAGAAGCAGGTACTGTTCTCTGTAGCACAGTGTTTGAGTAGCAGAACTTTTATTATTTCCATGTGAAAGGTAGAAGACAGGGCTGGAGCCAAATCTGATCTTTCTGCTGTCAAGCTGAAATGTTGTGACTATTCTGGTAAGAGAAGTCACAGAGGAATGCAGGTCTAGCTGTGCTGAGGTTTAGGTGGGATGTTTTCACTGTAGTGGGCTGTATCAGCTTTACAGGGTCAACCAAAGCTGGCAATGGCTGTGTCTTTATTAGTAATTTCTTCTCTTTTTGACAGCAGCTGCCTGAAGCTGCTTGTGTCACTGCTGTTAGGTGGGAGAAAAGGTGATATATGTTAATGCACATCAAATAGCTAGGCTAGCTTTCCTTTTTATTGCTAGTGCAGATATGCCCACTGCTACCTAGCAGGCATAGGCATCCTGTCGCCTATAGGGTATTGATTTACTCTGAGGTTGGGAGTGCCGTTCCGCTTTTTCTATGCTGTGGGTTAGGCACCATTTCCCACCCCATCGCCACATGCTTTTTGAAATCGTTTGCCATAACTAATCCTGTCTTCCTCTAGCACTGTGCAAGGATGTGGGTGTGTTTTGGCAGCTTTGCAGGGGTGGGAGTGAGAAATAATGGCTTCCTGTGGCCAGATAACTGTTACCTCTTACCCTGCTTTGCATGAAGGTGTTGGGAGACGGGTAGAACTTGTGTATACCAGTTGGGGCAGTGATCTGGTGGTAGCACCGGGATTGAGTGTTGGGGATCTGCTGTGGGCTTACCACATTATGCAACTGGCAATGTGACATTCCTGCCTTAACCCACAGTCACGTGGGAGGTCTAGGCAGAGCTGGAGGAATGAACATGATTCCAGTACAAACCTTCTTCCTTCTTTCTCTCCATCATAGCTGCCTGCACCTTGCAGAAAATATAGTTCTCTCCCCAATGCTGCTTGGTTTGGAGGGCCAGGAACTGTGGCAAGAACCTGGTTAGGTATCTGTGGATTCCCCCATAGCCTGGCCATGATAAAAAGAGAAGTAACGCCTACTTTACAATTATGCATGTCTTCAGCTTGAGATCATTGAAGGCTGGTATAACTGCTGCCAGCTCCATGTGCAACATGCTGCAAAGTATCTTGCACTTGGTGATCCAAGTGTGGCTTGATTTTTATAGATAAGGATTTAATGATGATCTAGTGAACTCTTAAACGGAGGGAACTTGCAAGTTTTTACTGCTTTAAACACTTCAGATATATTTTATCTCACACTTCATACAGTTGTTATAGCTGTGGGTATCTTTTGTCATCATATCCCCATCTGACTTGAAAGAAAAGCAAGTGTTTGCATCTTGGATGTGGTTGTTGGATTTCATTCGATGACAGGACTTGAAAGCGAACACTGGGCAGATCTCAAAGTTGGCGCACTCTGGCAAATCTGCAGGTCGGGTACTGTGGAGCTGACCTCCACAAACAGCTCTGGAAGAATCGGTGTTCCTGCCTCTGCAGCTGAAAAACAACCCCCAAAACTAAAAATACCTTCTCTCTCTCTTTCTCCCCCTTCCCCTTAATCTCTTGTCTGGCAGGGAGCAGAGAGGAAGATCAGGGATGAAGAACGAAAGCAAAGCAAAAGAAAAGGCAAGTGCACTGACCCCAGCTCTCAGTTGAATGCCTGTAAGTAGAATATTCCATCGGTATTTTAAATATTAGATCTCATTTTGGTTACAAATAACTTGTGCAGTAGAACTTTCCTAAGTCAATTTTTATCCCTTATGGAATAGTATTTGTTTTAAGCAGTTGCTTATGAAGCCATTAATTGTGTTTTGCAATGTGCTGAGCCGCTTAGGACTTCACATCTACCTAGTTCTTACTGTCCAAAACAGGGTCCTGCTATGTTTTCAATTGGGTATGGTCTTTAGCAGTTGAAATGACAGTGTGAGTATGTGATTTTGGGGCACTGCTGGAGCCCCTGCAGCTCTGTGTAGCAGCAAGTACTGGACCTGTTTGAAGTGTTTCCCCCTTGATCCTAAATGTAGGCTTTAACTTACATTAAAAATGCATTTATAACTGTGCAGCAAGGTGGTGGCAGCCTTGGGACTGAGCCTCCAGCCTCCCAGCCTTACGTTCACTCTTCTAGAGCAAAGTGGTCCTTAGCAAATAATTTCAGTAGAAGTTGTGAAGCATACGAAGGCCTCGGCACTCGTGGTATGTAAAAGCTGTGGAGCTTCTTCTGGCTGAGCATCTTTCCTTTAACTGCTGCAGATGACTGCAACAGATCCTGTGTTTGGATGACTAGTTATTCACAAACAGAGCTGCTTAGAGGAACATGTATCTCCCTGTTCTTCCTTTGCACGGGGTCGATGTGTGCTCTTCCTGGCTCTGCTCGGTGTGCTTGTGGGAGCTGGGCTATTAACAGTCCAACTGGTTCCACAAGCATGCACCTCACGGCTTGCTGGGCAGGATTTTCCTGATGCAGCAGGTACAGGCTGCTGGAGCAGCTTCAGAAGAAGATTATGCTGTGAGGGAACCCATTTGCTCAAGGGCAGTTGCAGAAAGGGCTGGGTTTTTGGTGTTTTTCCCAAAGTACATGGTGAAAGGCAGGTTTAGCACACTGTTAGCATTTCACAAATGTCGTAGCCCCAATGGCTCCCAAAAGATTACTGCTTGCAGCCCTTTGTGTAATGGCTGGAAAGTGCAGTTTCAGTACAGATTGCCAGGATCTTATGATTTTACAAAAGCTGCTTTCCAGTGTGAATTTCCTAGGCTTGGTCTTAGCCTGATGTGACCTTTATTTTCCTGGAAAGTACAATCGATTGCTGTTTAGTTCTTGTGTGGGAAGTTTTTGATTGCTCTAAGCCATAAGCTGTTATACCCACCTCCAGAATTACAAATGACACATGCACGTGGACTCATCAACAGCAGAAATAGTTTGTGACTTCTGGACAAAGTTATTTTTTGCAGGGATTGAGCAATCTTTAAAAAAATCAGTTTTGCAAGGGGGAAAAAAAGTGTATTTTCCCCTGGGGAAAATGAGAAGTGTTCTGCTTGCAGCTGGTTTGACCCAAAATCAAAATGTTTCCACTTGGTAAAATGAGTGGAAGTCTTCCGCTGGAGTCAGTTTGACATGAACGTGTCTGAAGTGCAGTTTAAGGCACCTCTTGCCTCACTCTCTCCCAAACGGGTCTTTGTGGGTGAAGTCTGTCCACTTGGTCGCTTGTGTCACATCAGCTGGTGTGTCATGAGAACCCAAGTGCTCTGTGGGAGATGGTGCTGATCTCAGTGGGGGATGAACTGGGGTCTGGCAGCTTGAGGTGACCAGGATGAACAATGAGATGAACAAAAATATAAAATTCAAAAGTGTGGCAATAGAAATGTATCTCTAAATGGAGCATCTTGCAAGAAACAGTATTTTTACCACCTCTGTAGTGTGATAGTGCTCCTGTGGTGTTTTCTGTTGGGGAGGTTCCCAACTGGAACTGTGTTGGTGGCAGGTTGTCTCTGTCTTCTTTCTGCCTTTCTGATATGGGAAATCAGCAACCTTTTCAGGGAATGGATAGGGAGAAGAGGGGACTCAGACTAGCATTTGCCCTCTGTTTGGATGGTTTGCTTGATATGTGGAAGACCTGTGTTTCTCTGCTGGGGTGAGTGGCCTGGCCATTCTCCAGCCCAGTTTATTATATGAACAAAGTCAAGCAGCTCACTTGGAGAGATGGAGCAAACTCCTACTCCTCTGTGAAATGAGGTGTTCCTCAGGGTCCAGGCCCTCATCTGAGAGGTAGACGACCCAGCCTCAAACTCTTCTACCACAGGAGCTTCTCTGTTTGGCCCTGACTACAGAGTACCCTTGTTCAGCAGCATATGTGCCTCTTCAGTGATGTAGGAAAGCCACAGCCTCATCCGTGTCTTCACTATCCTCTATTCCAATCTTTGGTCTCTGCAGTTTCTGATGTCAAAGTGCCAATGCTTCCCTCACACAAACGTACGGACATCACCATCTTCAAGCCCTTCATGGATCTAGACACTCAGCCAGTCCTTTTCATTCCTGATGTTCACTTTGCAAATCTTCAGCGTGGTGCTCACGTAAGTAAAGCTCGTGGGTGTGGGGATGAGGAGGGCTATGGGGTGTATTTGCAAAAAGCCTAGGATGCTGTGTGTATGTATATACACATGAAATGCCAGACTATCTGCACTGAGGCTGTAAACAAATACAGGCTGAGTCTCACATGAGCAAGAAAACATTGCTCCTAGTCGTGTCAGCTGGAGCTAACTGGGGATGTTCTATGAATAAATTATTTGCCTATGAACTCCCGTTTGCGTGAACCTGAAATGATGTTTTGGAAGTGCCTCCAGCCAAGAGTTCATTGAATGAACTGCAGGCTGTTTTTCTCTTGTAAAATCCATTGGTTTCCTGCTGTGCTGCTGTGGACCTCAGGCTCCTCCAGCCTGCTGCTGCAGGGTGAAGAGCCGTTCTATGGCACTGGCAAGTGTGTCAGCTCTGTGATCCGCTGCCAGAGTGCCCTGCCTCAGCGTTCCTGGAAAGTCCCAGCTGACAGGAAGGGAAAAAATTAGAGTGCAACCAAGTTTCAAAATCTTGGAACTTTCCTGTGCTGGGAATTCTGCCATGCTCTAACAGAATCTAAACCTTACTTTTTAAGAGCATTGCCTACACTCTTAACAGGGATGAAGAATAAACTTGTATCTGTAACGCTGACTTTTCCGCATGTTTTCCTATGAAGGCTCTAGTGCTGAGCTCTGTGAGAAGACTCTACGCCAGTCCAGATAGAAAGCTGGTTAGCTCTTGTGTGTTCCTGTCTCTCTCATTTGAGATCCTTTGATTTCTCTTTATGAAAAGAGGTAAAGGTGATGCTTACTGGCTTTTGGAAGATTGAGCCAAAGTGTCGTTTGATACAGGGTTAAAAGATAATAAGAGGAAATTAATTCCAGTTCTGGATAAAATTTTCACAACCCTAAGCGCAAATATTATTTGTATATTAAAATGAAGGCCAATGTTTATTGCTTGGACCAAAGCATCTTGCTTCTAATAACATAGCCGTGGCTGGCTCCCCACTTGACAGCCTTACTTTCCCCTGTCTTGTGCTGATGTGCTTATGAGTGAGTTGGAGGGGTGAGCTATCTGCCTGTCCCTTGCAGCTCTGGCCATGAGCTCAGGGGTTCCCTCTGCTTTAACTTGATGCTGTTCGACCTCTGCTCATGCCGGATGCAGCAGGATTGTTGTTCCATGCCAGTGACTCTTTAATGCAAACAAAGCTATTGCTAAGTTGCTATTAACAGATAGCACTGGGAGGGATGGGGAGAGCGTTGCTTAGCAAGACCATATCAGCTAATGGGTCTGTCCTTATGCAACTTTGTTTTGTAGCGCTCAGAGCCCTCTGTAGAGTTTTCCGAGGACTGAGTGCCACATAAGGTTCTCACTAGCTAGCTAATTGAGCGTGTGTTTTTCGGTGTGTATGTCAAGAAAATCTCCCCTTTGTTTTAAAAGGTCCTTCCTGTTGCTTCAGAAGAACTGGAGGGTGAAAGGTAAGAGCTGTGCTACTTCAGCCTACTGAAGTCTTGCCTTCAGACAGAGGGGTAAGTCCCTGTAATTGTACTGTTGCTAACTTTTTGCCTTGTCAATGACAGCTCCAACCTGAAGAGAGGAGCCTATATTGGTGAAGAGGACTTTATTGCTACTCCAAATAAGATGGCCAGAATAGAAGAGCCAAAAAGAGGTATTCTTTTCTTCTTTCAGAGACTAAATTATTGGAGTATTTGTCCGTCATAATAGAGAGATGCATCTGAGGTTAAAGAATTGTTTTAATTTATTTTGGAGTATACTTTAGCCTCATTTTTCTGGCTTTGAGTAGTAATAGAAAGAGTTTGTATATCAGGATGTAGTTCAGCTCTGCAAATCTTTTAGAGTGTCAGGATTTCTGGGGTTTTCTGCCAACTCGGACACTAATTGGCTCTGAACCTGTAAGGAAAGAGACTCAGAGGAGGTGAGCAGTTTACCAGTCTCCTTGGTGGATTGGTGGAGAGAATTCATCACATAATCCACTACAAAATACTTTGGACATCTTCTCTAGGACTTTAAACAATGAATGCCAAGAACTGGTTCTGGGTATAAAACTGTTGCATCTTTTATGGTGCCAGAAAATGGGCTGTTCACTGCTGAGAGCCAAACTGAGAGAATATTCTGCTTATTTTTAACCTGTTGTCGACCTTTGCAATTTGATGTGGGATTGGATGTTGTTGTGGAAGGAGATGAGAGGTCCCTTTGGAGATGGTGTAGAGGACTACCTGCCTGATGAGAGTCATGTGTGGAAGGACCACGACAAAGCTTAAAGGATTAAAAAAGGAGGATTAAACTTGTGATGAGGCAAAGGTTAAGTCTAGCAAATCTGACCTTAATGTAGCCGTGCTTCTGTAGTCTGGATAAACTAGTAAGGAAGGATGGATTTTATAAAAGGAAATTAGGCTTGGTTTTTCTTGTTGCTATATGCCATAAAACAAGACCCATGGGGTTCTCTCTCCTTTGGCTGGTATGTCATCCAACCTGTGCTGTAAGTGAGAGCGTGCCTGCTGTCTTCATTTTTAAATCTGCAGTCCTTTTTTTAAACCTGCCTTTAGCAGAGGAAATCATCAAGGTGCTGTGCTGTCCTGAGTTCACCTTGTTCAATTAGATGTGTCAGTAATTGTTCTGTGTTGCAGGTGTGTCAAAGCTGTGGCTGATGAACCCTTGTAAACAATCCAGGCTGCAATACCTAGTCATTAGAAGATGGATTAAAGACAGTAAAGCTGTTGAAGTCCAAGCTTTCTTGCTCTCAGGCTTATTCCTCAGCCTTAATGCAGTTTTTAATGAGGCTGACGTTACATACAGTGACTCTCTGCTAGCTTGAGAAGGCTAGGGATGCTCACCTAATTGGGTTTCTTATTCTTTTGTTCCCCTCCTAGAAGGAGACTAAGTCTGCATTGTGTGTCAGCTGGGGTGGTATGAGTATTACTGAAACATGGCAAGGGGTAGGAAGAGAGATGAGACAGCATAGAAGGAGCAGAGGACTGTACAAATAAATTATTTAAAAACGAGGAGGTGTCTAGGATGGCTTCACCTGCTGTGGTAGCATCTGTCAAATCATTTTATTGTGCAACGTCTTATGGCAGATGACCTGTGAGATACAGATACCCAAGAGTCTTAAAGCTGTGTGTTTTGCATTCCACCTTTCTGTGTTTCAAATATAACCTTTTTTCTTTTCAAATAATAGAGAAAATAGCAAATAGTGAAAAATTTAAAAGTATTTTGACAATAAAGATATTTGAGCATACACTATTTCTGTGTGCAAAAAGTATGTTTTGAGCTAACCTAGCTATGCATGTTTGTGATGCAGTCTTCAATGTATATTGAATGTATGTATATCTCCCCATGAGATCCTCAATGTGTATTACTCTGTACTTAGCCACTGTCATACACAGATAATTTTTGAGGAGCAATTACGCAGTAAATTCCTCTCTCTGATTTGCTTTTCAGTGTTGCTGTATGTCAGAAAAGAGTCAGAGGAAGTCTTTGATGCACTGATGTTAAAGACACCGTCTCTGAAAGGCCTAATGGAAGCAGTAAGTAATAAGGCTCTTTTATAGTCCTTTCCTCCAGTTTGAGAAAAAAGCGAGTGTAGTCCCTGGCTATCCAGTCCGTATACACTGGACAGTCAGAGGAGCTAGAGTCTCAGTCACAGGTTGTGTCCCCATATTCCTGTTCTTGTGGATAAGAAATGCCTCACATGTCTGGGGTTTGGGTGTAAGAAAGTGTTTCTCAGCCTTTGTGAAAATCCAGGTGTGTCAAGCTTGATGACTGGATATCCAACATAGTCCCAAAATGACAGATGCTTCTGGAGAGAGAGCCTTCTAGGCTCACTTCTTGTGCGGGCTCTGCTTTGGCCAAGCTGCAGAAGCAGCTGTGTAGGTCCTTTCCTACTACATTCCTACTTTTCTTTTTTCTTTTTTTTTTTTTGTCAAAAAATGGTCAACAGACTCCCACTGTGGATGTCTCATGTCAGAAAGGGTATTTTAATTAGAAGATGGAGTGATTTCCAGCATGTGTTCAGTAGCTTGGGTTTATTTCAGCCTTTCAAAGCCTTGTTTGGGGCCTCCCCTCCCCCTTTATAACCTGCTTATGATGAGCTCTAAGTCCCGGCTTCTGAGCGTGCTTGAAGAATTTTATATATCTGTGCACACGTGCATGAAATTGCTCTCTGGTACTTGACTTCCAAAATAGCCTTCCACTGCCCCTGCTGCTGCACTGCTGCAAAGGAAATACAGAGTTTAACTCCAAGGAATGGTGTAATGTTTGGCACAAGCTCAAAACTGATGTTTCTGGCTGTCTCCTTCTGTGACTAATGCCTTGTCAATGCCCAGAGGACGGAGGCTTTGGGGCTGTACAGCCAGGTCTTGCTGTTAGCTTTGGGACCCAGAGATGGTTCTGTAACCTGAAGCTCACTCCTGGCTGTGGAGCTTTGCCAGCGCAGGCAGGCTGGAGGTGGGGGCTAATGGGGAGGGCAATTGAAGGCTATGAAGTCCTCCCTTATCCCATGGTCTTGAAGTGAAGCTGCACCTTTGTTGTTTCACTTTTGGCTTCTTAAAGCAAGGAACCAAGAGCTCACAACCGTAGCTTGGAGGAAGCTCCCTGTGCCTTTGCACCCTGAAAATGGCATATTGGTTTGGTACTTGCTGTCAGTGTGATAGAGCAATTTGCCAAAGTAAACCAGGCTTAGGTTACTGAACTGGTGACATTCTGAAGGCTTGTATGGTGAAGTACTAGGGCTAGTGGCTGTGGTTTCACACTGAGGTCACCCTGCTAGGCAAGGGGGATGTTTCTGATCAGCTCGTGTCCTTAGCAGCAGAGGTCTTTGCTCTGTTGCTATTTTCTTCCTGCACCAGCCACTGCGATGACTAGTTTTCACCTGATCCCTTTGACACTGAATTTAAAAATGGGTTTTGATATGCTAAGGGAACAGAGAGCCAAGAAAGGATGAGAGCCAAAGTGTGGTGTGGTTTTTTGATGCATGGGCTTTTTGGTGTGGGGGTAGGGGGTTGCTGTATGAGAAGTCAGTGGCCAGGTTTAGAGCATGATTCAATTTTTTTGCACAGAAATTGGCAAACTGCAGAGGAGGGTTTCTCATCTGTAGGCTTATGCTATATTCAGGATTTAGTATTGCCTTTATAGGGCAGAGCAGTTGTTTTCATCTGCAGACCTTTTTTTGTTCCTTTCTGTAAAACAGTAAGTGGAAGACAATGCCAGCAGTCTCCTTGCTTTGCCAATGCTTGCTTTCTTTTGTTCTAGATATCTGACAAGTATGATGTTCCTTTTGACAAAATAGGAAAAATCTTCAAAAAATGTAAAAAAGGGTGAGTATGTACCTGTGCAGTGACTGTCTGAGAATATGAACTCCTTTTTTCAAGCCTGCAGGGAAATCTGCTTTATAATGCCTCCATGCACTGCACATACGCAAATGCCATTCACAGATGCTTGTGTTTGTGTGTGCACACAATGTACTAATCCTATTCCAATGTCATTCATAGAGCGGAAGACTGGAAGGGTCCTATAGAAATATGTAGTCTGACTTCCTGGTTAAATACAAGTCACAGGACCTCTCTGAGTTAATTGCTATTTGAGCCAGAGTTGATCGTGTCAGAGGAGAAGGGTTCAGTTTGTTTAAAGACTCCCAGTGACAAAGAACCTCCTTTAACCCATGTTAAATTGTTCCAGTGGTACTCGCTATGTCCACATTTGGGTACAATTACTACACCTGCTTGTCCTTTTATGTGCTAAACTGAAGAGAGCTTTACTTGTGAAGTACCCGTTCCCCACAGAGGCCACGCTCCACAGTCCTCTTATTTTGTAACATAAATGGTCGAGTCCCTGAACATGTCTGCTTTTGGTTTTCCTTTTAATCTCTCAGTAATTTTCTTGGGTTTTTTCTCTAAAGTCACTTCGGTGTCTTAGCCCCTTCCCCAAAGCCCCTCTGGCTGGAAAAATACATCCTTTCATCACTTTTGGAATGTAGTTTCAAGGCTTGTGCTTTCATAGCAGAATTTAATCCACCAGAACAACTGGAAGAGGCTTGAATTGATGATAGCTAAACCACTGGCTGTCAGACAAACCAGTTCAGAACCCCAGGGTTGCCCCAGCGTCTGGAGCTTCAGAAGGATTTCTGCCAGTTCTGAGATCTCCCTCCCTCCCTGGTCCAGGAGCCAAGACTTAACCCTTTCGTTCAGGTCCTAGAAGCACAGCTTGCAAGCCTTGATGGCAGGTTTGGGTAGGAACAGCTAAATCTGCTATAGGAAGCAATGGGTCAGAGATGATAGGTAAGCAGGCATCTTGCATTACCTCTGGGCAGCCCAGACTTTCTGAGACTTGAGGGCGCCTTTGCTGTCTTTAGCATTTAGTACTGTAATATTTCCCTGACTGACTTTATTTTTCCAGAATTCTGGTCAACATGGATGATAACATTGTGAAACACTATTCTAATGAAGATACCTTCCAGTTGCAGATTGAAGAAGTTGGAGGATCTTACAAGCTCACTCTCACTGAGATCTAAGATCATGGATCCTCTGTGGATTTTAAAGGTCTCAAGTGAACATTTTTCTCATAATTTAGGATGTTGGGCAAAACACTAATCGCCTTCTCCAGAAGAAAGCCAGGTGTTGACTTGTTCTGGGGAACAGAGCAGTGGTTTTGCTTAATACATTTGTGTTACTGTTCTTTCCAAAGAACATTGCAATGCTCATGACCTTATTTGCACTTGAAATGAGTGAACAAAGATCTGCGATTAGAGAGCGTGTATAAAACACTAGTAAAAAAGGGAGGGGAAAACTCCTGGAAGGTGGCCTTTTAGAGTGATGATATCTTATTTATCTATTCAGTATCCATGTTTGAGCCCGTTATCAGCTAATACCATTTTATTGGGCTGTTTTCTGCTGGGTAGAGCTGCAAAACTACTAATTGATAGTAGTAGGAATTGCGTGCAGGTTGGAGAAAAGTCTTTATAATGTTTACTCTTGAACCAGGGCAGACTTGTTGAAATCACTGGTGTCATTTGGGGGGGGGAACGTAAAACTGCCTTGCTTATGAAGAAGTCGCCTTAGTAACTGTGTGAACTCTCATCAGATGAAGCTACATTGTATATAAGTGCAATATTTTTTTGAAGGTTTGTAAATGTGTACATACAAGTGATATATAATATATATAAAATACGGTGTTCTGTATATACCGTGAATATATGCAATGAAGCCCATCTAAAAGGATGCCATATACAGAGAAAACAGATATTTAATGTAGCTATTTAAAAACAGACAAACCCTTAACACGCACCAAAGGTGAGCACACGTTTGTACTTTCATAGAAGGCACAAGAGACCTGCTTGTTCAACGTGGATCTTCCTGCATGGAAGGAAAAAAGGTACCAGCTCACTCCTAAACCCTCCTGCACAGCCAGGCGACAGCAGTCCTGGCTTCTCCTATGAACTGCCAGTTTGACCCCTGAAACGGCTGCGTACGGCTGCCCTGGGAGGAGATTTGGGTTGAGTCTGAGAGCTGGGTCCCAAGAGTTGCTGAGCAGATGCAGTTTCCTTGAAATCTCACTTCTGGGGCTCAGGAAGAAGGTCTCCTGGAGGGTGGATTTTTCTCCTGTAATAGTGTACTTGCGGGCAGCATCCAGCTGAGCCTTAACAGCAGTTCAGGCTGGATGAACCCATGGGTCGGAGCCAGCTTGCAAGGTCCTACCTAGGATGTCAACGACTTGGAAGTGCACAAGTAAGGCTTTTGAGAGAGGAAGGTGGCAACCCGGCGCAGCAGGCCAAGTGTTAGTGGGGACTAGGGGCTGCAAGCAGGTTAAGCTTTCCTGGTGTTATGTACATCATTGGGCATTGACCTGCTGCTGAGGTGGAGAGATCAAATGGGCAGCTGGTAGCAGGCATCCTGAGCCTAGCCCCAGCTGGGAGTGCGAGACACCTCCAGAAAATGCTGCTCTGCAGTAGATTGTACAGTATTTACTCATCAAGTGTATGTGCTTATGAAGGAAGGGCACCCTCTGGTTAGTAGCAAGTGAGAGGGGAACACTTAAATAGCAGCACTTGGCTGTAGGGCAAGAACCTGTGTTACAGGGTGAGCAGATGAGTGTGAGTACCAGGTCCAGTGTCACTTAGTGCTTTTGCTAGGGATCTGGATAATGAAAGAGAGGTTTATAACATTTTCAGACAGCACAAAGCTGGAAAGAGCTGCACATGCCTCACCTAGGATGTGAAGGTCAATCTGGATAGGCTGGAGAAATAGCCTGGAAAAGTAGGATATGATTCTACTTAATGATTAACGATTCTACTGAAGGGTTAACAAATTGTAACCGAACGTTGTTCAGCTGTGTCATGCTGCTGTTTGGAAGAGGGAGGCAAATGCCACGTTGAGTTGATAAACAGGAGCATGGCCTGCAAGAAATAGGAGACCTGCCTTTTGCTCTACTTGGCATTGCCGAGGCCTCTGCTGGAGCTCTGTGCCCTTCCAGCAGAGCCCAGTCCTATCGGATGTCCCCGAGAGACCAGACCGCCTGCCCAGTCCTTCAGCCAGAGCTTGTGGCTTCTGAGGAGGAAGGGCTGGATGAGTTGCCTGGTGAGGGGTCATCTTCAGAAGGGAAGGTTGAGGGGAGCAGCCTCCCAACACGTGGGAGCATTCTCCCGGTCCATCGCAAGCACAATGAGAAGTAGTGGGCGTAAATTGCAGAAATTCAGGTTAGGTGTCGAGGTGGCTTTTTCTAGTGAGAAGAGCAAGTTGCCCAGGGAGGTGTTGGAGTTTGGCATCAGAGGTTTTCAGAGCTGGGCTGGGCAAAGGTATCTCTGGACTCTCACAGCTATCGTTGATTTTCCCTTGGTGCTGAGACTAGGTGACCACTTGAAGTCCCTCCCCACCATATTTTTTTAATGATTTATATGAAATGCAGTATTTGGGATTTGTGTTTGGACCAATCTTGAGCTGGTTCATAGACTGCTCCATTACCCCCTCCCTCCTCCTGCTCCATTGACGGGCCCCACGGAGTATTGCCAATGCTCTGGGTGCCGCGTGCTCCCCTCTTTGCTCTGTGGCCAGGGTCGAGCAAACTCCGCATGGATGCATCCGTGACTGTGGGCGTGTGGATGGAGCCCGTGGGCTTGAAGCCAGAGTGCAGTACGGCACTGAAGAGACTTGGCTGACACATACCACCCCGTACAGGAATCCACTGCCTGCAGAGCAGCCACGGGACTCATACCCAGCCAACACCAACCAGCTGCTTGGGCTTCCCTTCATCAGTCACGGGAATAATGTTACTATAGCAAGGGAATTTTTTTAAAACCTGATATATAGAATACGTATATATATTTACACATTTTTATTGAAAATTGAAGTTTTATTACAGAAACTCAGTCTAGGGTCAGGGAAGTAGATTTAGAGTCTCCATAGAGGTAAGATTGACATGAATGTTATTTCTTTTTACTGCTTAATGAAGTATGTGAACTAAATCTGATGATTGTTTTCCACTATAAGATACACTGGGACACGGGTCTTTTAACAGTAGCAGCAATGTCATGTATGTTTTATGAAAACAATTTTTTTTTTGTTTGCCTGCTGTTTTTTAATTGAAAATGTATTTTAAACCAAGCTATTAAATTTTATATGTTCATTTCTAATGATGAGTCTTTTCTATAGTAAAAGCATCTGCTCTTACCCCTTTATTTTTCCATTGACAGGGAATCTATAAAACAAAACCCCAGTGATCATTTTCTAGTTTCTCTTTTCTTCTTTGCAGAAGAAAATAATCCCAATGCCAGCCTTGCTGTTATTCCACATAAGAAATGCTTAGTCCCGTTCTCATTCCCTGCTTGATTTCAACTGACTTCATTCACTTTTGGTGCGGGGAAGCTGTGTAGCATTTTGTTTCCGTGGGACCCTTTCCTTTGGCAGTAAACCAAAACCAAACAACCATTGGTAAGCTCAGATGTGTAGTGGGTCAGTGATGCCTGACAGTCTCTGCTGGAGGTTGAACAAAAGCATCAGGGGCATTGCTGCCTTCTGTGCCCCGTGCAGGGGTGGATGGGGTCTCCTGTGCCTGGAGGGGGGAGCTGTGGGCTCGTCCCTGGCTGCCAGGTCCAAGGTGCTTTGTGTAATCACCAGCCCATGATTGCAGCAGGTGTCTTTCCAGGAGGAGCTGGTCATAACTGGCACTTCCCAGGAGGTGCAGGGGACCGTCGGTGAAGCTGCAAGCATTGACTTTCCTGAGATGAAAACACTCAGATATAGTCCATGCTAGTTCTCCAGAAGAATCTTAATGCTGCTGTTGCTCTAGCATCTGGAGAGGTGTTCACCTCTTTTTCACTGTCAGAAAATGTCTCGACAAGCTTTTGCTTTAGCTGGCTCCCCAGTCCTTGCAGCGGCTGCAGGGTGCTGCTGTGGGGCAGCTTCTGCGCCAGCACCTTCCCAACTGCTGGGTTTGTGTCGGCATGCCCGGGGTTCAGTGGGGAGCAGTGTGGGTGGCACAAGATTTCTAGGCTAGAAGAAGGCCAGTAACGCTTTTTATTTGTTAACTTATTTATTTCTAGTTCTCATGTGGGCTGCGCTTGCAGAGTTTGTGTCTCAGATGTAGGAAGATGCTGCAGGATGTCACCCAGCAAGTCCTGGGGTGCACTGGGTGATGCAAAAGTGCTGGGGGATGCTGAGTATTATCTCCACCTGAGTCAGTGCCCACTGAAATTTTGAGCAGGGTTTAGCCCCCGTACAGTCGGTTTGCAGCGTGGTGGCCATCTCCCAGCAAACCTCGGTGTGAGGGTGGATCTGCTGTCAGGCCGGCTGCGAAATGGCTGCTACCCCCTCTCCTCTGGGCACGCGATACCTTCGTCTTCCTAAGCCTTTACGCAGTGTGTGCCTGTGTGCGCCTGCGCCAGTCCTCATACCGCCTCCTGCCACCCTGTTGGCTCTTTTCTATTCAAGTGAATTTAAAGCGTGTTTTTAAGCAGGTCTTATCTGCAGCAGAGCATCAGTGGATGAAAGGTGAACTCCCAAAGATGAAGCTTTGAACTCCCAAGCCAGGCAGCCTTACAGGGAGATCTGTGCTACTTCCCTGGGGTGTGGCTCGGGGCTCTAATATCACAAACATTTAGTTAAGCTTTTAAGATCTGATCTCTTTTCCTATGGGAAAGCTGAATTCTGCAGCTTCTTGATGGATCTTTTGTCTGTTAATTGCAAGAGATTTTTCTCAAGGCTTTGCAAGAGCATAGAGCTTACATGCTCCTCTGTTTGATTTGTTTGGTATTTTAGATTATTTGATTTATTATTGAGATTAAATTATTTAATATTAGATAATATTTAGATGACACCTCAACTAGATGAATTGGTCTAATGAAAAAAATATGAGCTTTTATAACTTGTTTTGCTCTTTGATCTTGGACTACCCTACCATACCACCAGTGCTGGCTACATTTGCATAGTTCACAATACTGCAGGAGGGATATTTCGGCTTTTCTTTTCTTCTTGGCTAGTTTCAGTAGCTGCTGTCACTGGGGTGGTTGCGGGGTTTTTG